TTTATGACATATTACACATATTTCACTATAAACAGCGAAATGGAAAATAAAACAATATTAACACACAATTCACTTTTGTATTTGAAACTAACAAATGCCCACACTGCAGTTTTTTACGTGTTTCTGTCCGTCGGTAGGCTGGTGTTGTAGAGAGAGTTTAGAATACTTGACGACGCTCCAGCTCACGTCTCGGGCGCCACACCATATCCACCTCTACAACAGGGGCGGCTTCAGCAGATGACTCGGGTTGCGTTCAGGATCAAATACCGCGCCAATTTAAGAAGTTAAGGTGTCTGTTGCGGTTTCATTTCACGGATGATTTTGATTCCAAATTTTGCAGGGAACCATGTGTTGATTGGGGTTAATTAGGCGTAGTCTGAGCGTGATCGCCGCGTGGGGGCTCCTCTGGCAGACCGTCTTCACAGAACCGGGTCGATGTCTTACACAAATTCTGTAACACTTGAAATCTTTGGCTGTTTGAATCTGATGGAGCGCCGGTGTAACTGATAGAGATTATTAGAGAGATTACGTGTGTTTAAAGTTTAAGCCATACACATTATTGAAACAACTGGTCGTCTGGGTTGTCGAAAGAGAAGGAAATGCACTCAAGGTGATAACAAACCTTATTCAGAATCAGAAGTCGGCTCGTTGTGATGTCTCTGTTTAGACTGTATGTGATATACGCAATATGATATTAATTGATATGTATTATGATTTGTTGTCAAGTATGTTTGTTGCTTAACGCCGGACTCAGCATTATTCAAGCTATATGATGGCGGTCTGTAAATAATCGAGTCTGGAACACGCAATCCAATGACTGACATCAATGACCTACGCAACCGGAATACGATGGCAAGTGTCAACCAAATCCCGTTCGTCACCTCTAACGAACGGGTTGCGCATGGGTTGCTGAAGACTAGTTCTAACCCGTATCTTCTCCTGTGGTCATGCATATAAGGAATGGTGGTCATGTATATGTGGATGGGTTGGTATTGTGTATAGGGGGATGGGTGAGGGTATACATAAGAGAATATGGTTGTGTATACATGGCAGGGTAGGATGATCTAGGTATGAGGGTGGCCTGGTCCTGGAAAACAAGGGTGAGAACTTTCATAGAATAGTCCACCATATTAATAAAAAACTGCAAAAACGATAGGTTAGCATGTTTTAAAAAGGATTTCTCGAACAGGCAACCGCAAAATGCTATAGTGTTGTGTATAATTGCTCCACCCTTTCCCGTCACGCGCCGTAGTCTTGGCGGATCGAATATCGATATCCCTGACAGATTGCGTAAAGTGTGAGTTTACACAGGATTTAAAACAAACTTAGAAGATAAATATACTAACAACAAATCTCTTATCCGGGTCCACGAGTGCTGACAGAGCCACGGCACGGGGCTATTTCAGTTGCATGCTTGCAATGAAGACATAAAGCATGTATTCACCTGGGTGATATGATTGATCCAGATAGGAGGGGCTCTAACTGTATCGCTGTAATAATCATGTTACACATGCGGAACATGCACGCACGAGCATGTAACAAACACATCGGTGCAATCTGTGATGACGGACACCACCAACAACAACCTCAACCCTACTCCACCCTAAACAGAGTTACCAATAGATCGTCATTTCAAAGTTAACTTTGAACTTAAAGAATCATGAGTCAAGTTCATTTTGAAAACCATGCGGTGGAGTAGCCCCGGCTCACAAGTGTTCGCGTTTAAGCAGAAAATGTGGTTCGATGTGTCTCTGCCGATATATCACTGGGATATTCCTATTGGTGGATTAAGGCTAATCTCTCACAGTCCTAGTACCGGTGAACACCTTTATACCTATTATACCACATACTGAGCAAGAATCGTGACACAAATACAGTCATAGAGTAAAATGTCTTTATGACAGTTGCACTGCTTGATTCTGTGGTAGGCTAAAGGGCCTTTCATCATTATTTGTGTAAGCAAGTGAACTAGAACATTGCGTTGCAGCGTGGTTTCCTTAAGATATTTGTAGAACTTGCAAGTTTTTACCTCACTTTTAAATGAAGTTTAATTTGAGTTTAACGTTTTTCCAAAGTAAAACATTTTCTCATGAACGTTCACCAATCGCAGATGTGTCAGAGCAAGAAGTAAATCCACAATATTATGACATCGAACTATGTAAATACTTGCTTTACTTCAGGAAACTATAACGGTTATATTATGTAAACACCAGCTTATGAGAGATGGATTTACACAGTTGTATAAACACCAGTATTAAAACGTTTACGTCTCCCGGCACATTAAGCTACGCCTCCCAGAATGCACCCTGGTGTGACGTCATCAAGGAGACGATAAATAATACCTGACACATCCCACTGTGTTCTTGTTTCTCACGAGATGCCGTGAGACTTCCTATAAATTTCACACATTATTCCTGCTATGTTGGCACATTATCTGGGTACGGGTCTCACCTCCTGTAGGGGTGCCAGTTGCTCTCCGTCTACGTTCTTACTTCAAACCCTGACAAACTTTATATATTATATCCCCCGACCAGACACTTTCCAGTTTACGGTTTTAGCCGGTGTGAGTGAATTGTGTCCCAGTTGGCCTGCCATAAACGTGTAATTTGCGCCATTAGTGCTGATGCCTCCCTCCGCAACATGTACGGACATGCGTGGTGAATGTAACTACAGCTCGAGAATTATTATTTCAAACATAAACTGTAGTGGTGAGGGCAATCCTGTGTGTCCCTATGTCGTTTTCTGGCGCCGTCTCGCGCACGAGAGATCGCGAGAGTTCATGCTTATCACGCGCTAATTGGGAGTATAATGATGGACGTTCACGAGAGAGTTTGGGTCATAGGTTAAAATTATGTCGAGCGATTTTGGTTGCATCATTTGCTGTACACGTCTACAATTAGCCACCGCAGGTTTTAATACTGCATCTAAATAAACCAGAACAGTCCCCTTGGCAAAGGTTCAAGAGCTGACAAAGTTGTAAAAATCGTTCTTTCTAGAACGGCCATATTATCTTCACTTAGGTACAGAGTATGTGCTCATTACAAACACGTTATTTGACATCTGTCCGAAAGAATACAACATAGAAAACTAGGTTTTGAAGAAAAGCAATTCAACGGTTATTTCCAAAACACGTTTCTCCACCGAATAAGAGACCAGGGTGTAAATCTTATGGTGTATGCTCGTGTTAATATGTGTCATGTATAATGCTCCCTTGTCATGTTGAGAGCAAAACTAGGTTTTAGACATCGTCCAGGTTTGCCAACGCGCCTCAGCTGGAAGAGTGTCTGACGGTTTATACAAACCAGTGTCAACTCCATCCCAATGTTACCATTTCTATCACAAGGAATTTGCAAACACTGAATCCTATGGTAAGACACCGAATGCTTCTGAATCGCAGGTTTGTGTCAAAACACCATTTTGGAATACTTTGATGTCAGGAGATGCGTCTCTTCCAGACGACTCAGTACGTCCGCAGTCCCGCAAAAATGTCGTCTGCTTCTCGTCGTTCGCTTCCGGTTCATTTTAACTTTAAGGGGGAGTTTTCATGTGCATGTTTCATATCTGTCGACAAGTCTTTAAGCGGCCCGTTCGTTAAATTTTGTTACTTGTTTTATGAGAGGGCGTGAATAAACTGGTGTATACAGTTGGTTACGAGCCGCAACACTGTCTGGTATCCCTCACATTTAGAAGGTTCATCCTTCAGCTGAAAGTCCGAGAACCATGCTGTACTCTGTATCACTATATTACAGGCTGTATTCTCCAAGTAATGTTGTTACACTTTTATTCATACGATTGGAAGATGGGGCTGGTTCACATTAGATCAGTAAAACGGTTTGATTCGCGCCAACGCTCCTCGTTGTCTAATTGTGGTATGTACCCGTTTATATGAGTTGGTTCAATAGCAAAATGACGTTTATGTTGACTGAGCGAAAGCGTTCACTCGTCTTGCCGAAGACGGGGTTCAATGTCCAACATAGGCACAATCTGTACATCACACTGCTGGTGGCATTGGAGATTTTCTAGAACGGTGTATAACTTGTTCACTCACTAACCCATGGTTGAGAGTTGACCAAGAACACTTACTACTCAACAGCCCACTCACTTGTGTATTCAGTGTCAAGCATAACAAGTTTTTCACCATAATATATCGGATATGTCTACACACCTCCCTCTACACATGCCAGGGCAGAGATAGTGACAATTATAAATGTGTTATAGAGATATCCTAGATAAGGCCCTGACCTACTTTGGACACTGTCCGTATGGCCGAAGTGTATGTTGACAGAGGAGTTTAAGATGTAGGTGAAATGGGTCACTAGCGATACCCCTCACAGGCTGTCATCACGTGATAAACATGAAAGAAAACATTGGTTGATGTACCATCAGAGTCCGTAAACAGGATGTGGTCAGTTAAAAGGGAGGTCACTCTTCCTGAAAGGGAGGGCATCTTTGGTCATTTAGGTCAGAAATAGGTCATCATTTCAAAATATTTTTTACCCTAATTTCTTTCTTGTCATCAGAAATGTATATCCTGTGCGTGAAAGATTATACAAATGTAAAGCTGTGTGACCGTCCTGTATCTTCAAAACGTCATCAACTGGATTACCATTAGTCTGTTGTACAGACTCTGGAATAAATATACCCAATGTAGCCCATGCAAGTCTAGAAGGTGTGGCAAGTCTAGATGTCCACAGTTTCTGAAAATGAAGGAAGTCTCTGGGCTCCTTTTTATTGTATTCAATTTCAATTTTTCTGTAAAATGTGTTCATTTCAGAGACTAGTTGTTAGTCTAGATTACCAAGCTAGATTAGATCAAACACCTTTTTAAATTGTTTCTTGAACATATAGGAAAAATATATATCTCATAGTCTTGGGTGATATTTAATGTAATTAGGAAATATCGCCTGACCTTTCGAGTCTGTAACTATATATCACATTCTTTGTATATTGTTTGTGCAACTATGTTCTTGACAGAAGGGGACCCCCTTCTTCTCAAATAGGTGAATTCCCATTTGCAGATGGCCAGGACTATTTTGCTGACCTGGAGGGCCGAGAATGTGTCAACTGTGGAGCGATCTCAACACCCCTCTGGCGACGGGATGGAACAGGCCATTACCTGTGCAATGCATGCGGACTGTACCATAAGATGAACGGCATCAACCGCCCTCTGATTAAACCCCAGCGCCGTCTGGTAGGTAAATTAGAAGTGAGTTGGATCAAATACTGTTTTTTATGCTATTCTTATTATCTGGATAAGTTCATAACTGATTCACATAAAGACAAGTCAGACTTAAAGGTCAGAATCACACGGAAATATACTTTAGTGTTTTTTGTCTGTTTAGTAGGCCTAGAATTTGTACAATGATTAAACTTTCAGCAGTAGTGCACGTCTTCTGGATTTGTAACTATAGCGGTGTATTACTAAATATAGGTTCTGGTGAATTTATCCTTTTCTTCAGTTGTCGAAGTATAATGACACTAAGATAACACTGAAATTGAAACAAAGACTCAGTGATGGAAAAGCATCGCCATGTACATGCATGTGATGGATATGGGAACCGACACACGAAAAACTCCTCTTTTTGACATAACTAAAGTTAATGATGTGGAAATTAATCCCTTCTACAGGTGTACAAAATGAAGCAGTCTTATTTATTTATTGCCATCTTAGTTTTTTGGCTTTCAATATTCGGATCAGATTTCGTAAACTCAGCACGAGGCGAATCTATAATGGCTATTTTTACCCTTGAGATTTAAATCACAATTTGGCAAGCTCATTCATCTTAGGACCTGAGGGACTCTCTAAACACTGGGCGTTTATTCTGCGGAATTAGGCAATAAATTCATTCACGCGCACACACAAAAAGAACTCTTTTGCAAAGTTTATTTTTACTAACTTGCACTTTGAGATGGCAAGGTATAATTCTGCGTTTTGTTTAGGTTTTGTAAGCTATCGTCATGGGTCCCGCGACTCAAACTGTCCATTTACAAATATTTAGCCGCAATTCCACTATGGAATCCTCAATATTTTGCTAACAAGTCTCCCCTTCCAACTCTCCGTATGTTCTCTATCACTTGGCCCGACCCTAAAACACCGATCCCAAAGCGGTTATTGTCAAAACACGACGCGGGTCTATCGGCGAAAAGAAGACATTACTGTTAAATGAAGAAGAATCCGTCTTTTGAGATAAACCAGATGGTATGATAAAGGGAGATCACTCGCAGAGGTCAGACCGACCCCTGGTGTGGCGCCTCTTGTGCTCACAGCGTGTAGAGTATGCGGGGTGTATTTCGTTCCATGCTTGTGGGGTTCGCGTTCCTCATTCCGTCGTAGGGGAAAGGGGACAGAGGGTGTGGCAATTAGCGTTACAAAGCCCCACAGCCACCAGCCTTAACCTTTGTAATGTTTATGTGAAGTAAACCTGAAACAATAACATGAAGTGAAATATGGAACGCCATTCCGAGTCCCAAGTTGTTGCCAAGAGGACAGGCCCATCAGAAACATCAGATTCATTAAACAAGTTGGCGTATATTTCAAATAGGTGCATAAATCTAATCATGGCGTATCTCACAAACGGACGGGTTTTCAAGCTTAATAGTCAAACTGCATTCAATGATCTGTTAAGGTAAAGATAGGACAACGTCAAATTTCCATGTAGAAGTCTTGAGCAGGCATTAAATCTACCCTTGTTATTCCAGTCGGCATCTCGACGAGTGGGCCTCTCCTGCGCCAACTGTCACACCACTACAACGACTCTCTGGAGGCGGAACAACGAGGGCGAGCCCGTCTGTAACGCCTGTGGGCTTTATTATAAACTCCATGGGGTAAGTAGTTCGAATTTAAGTTTTATCGCTCTCCCTTCAAGTAATGCTGGTCAGCTGACACGGCAACTGATGGTCATTATGCTTTTATTTGAGCTGCAATGTTTCAAACAGAAATGTACAAAATACAAATTAAACTTAAATTATTCTTACAATCAATAATTAACCTTTGTATTTACATTATGAACAAAAACGTTCTTAGCGCAACAACAGTCATTACTCCAAAACACTAACAAACATCTATGACCGTCTTTGTGCTAAGGTCGCTTTGTGCACGTGGCCCTGTTGTCTGAAGCTATCTCGGTACATTGTCACTAAATATATGTATGATACATTTATGTTTACCAGGTTAACAGACCACTAGCTATGAAGAAAGACGGGATTCAAACCCGGAAAAGAAAACCCAAGAATCTTGCGAAGACAAAAACACCCATCAAATCCGAACCATCAGGTAATTTCACTTCTAACAAACGATTCATGTGTTATTTCGTTCCTTGTTTAGAGTACAACCATGTATATGGTCTAGTGATTGAAGATATTGTGACATGCTATTGCTGGATATGAACACTCCCTATATATCCGGGGTCGCCTCTCACTTCTAATAAAACAACAGAGCGACTTACCCCGTGACCCGAGATAGCCAATTGTCTCAGCAAACCAGGATTTAACCCTCCGTGTGTGGGTTATTCTATGTAAATTGACCCCATTAACCCTGCTGAGAAGGAGACCTGTAGTCTGCCTTTGGGAGGCGTCTACTTCCAATCTTTTTTCTGAAGTGTCTGGCTGAAACGGAATCGAAAAGACAGATCTTTTTATGAACCGGAATGTGATATTTATTTTCTTTTAAAGGACATTTTTTCCTGTTTCTGTTTATTTACTTTTCTTGACTCTGACTCATCTACTTAATCACAATGTTAATCGACTTGGCACGTGCTCCTTTAGGGTGATTTATTTCTTAGCCTTGAATACACACTTTTGAAACGTTTTTATATATGTTAAAATGTGTCATTATTAAATTCATGAAAATGCCCCACAGGAACATCAACACGGAATAGATGTTATTCGTTGCATTGATGACGAAAGAATACGTAACCTCACAATTTTTCAGCCCTGCAAAATTCAAAGTTATCATTTTCAAAAATGGATAAGAACATATTCATACTAGCTGCTCCAATTTAGCTGCACACCCTTCCTTGAACTCTACACTAGGATACCAAGTCTTTGCAATTTGATTTTCTGAGTGGCGTTTTCTGATGGCCATCTTAGCCAGGCATCGTGAGGCAACAGCCGTGAAAGGTTAGGTGTAAATATTTGGAGATCCCGTAGCGATGTGCACACTCGGTTTCAAGACAAAAGCCCCGGCGTTAGCTGAAGCCCCAGGGGACTCAGATATTCTCATGTCTCTTCTTCAACTGTATTTATGGTACCGTATTTATCACCAACTGACGAGACTCCTTCTAAAATATCTCCGAGATTGCGTTTACCAATTTTCATCCGCATAATAGTTGAAGAAGCCTGTCAAGTGGAAATGATGGAAATATATAAATTGATATTGTTTAATCACTTGGTAATATCCACCTTGTTCAAATCGTTTCGTTTGAATGTTGTATTCTAGTGTTTTTGCCATATCTAAGTATATTGATTTCTTTCAGATGTTAAACCGGCCAGCTCACCTTCTGCTCAGTCTATGCATGGCAACCAGAACACCCACTCACCAACGCCACCTAACGGAATGAATGGATCGATGTCAAATCTCCTTGTACCAAACGGTACTCTGACGTCACTCAGTCCAAGTCAGTCAGAGTCGAACACATCGCTCAGCAGCCCTGTCTCGCTGACGTCACCGGGTCATTACGGTACGGTAGCGCCTTCACCCCCTAAAGCAGTCCCTGTCTCCCTTGACAACGAATCAAGTCACCCTCACGGCGGAAGTACCCTCAATCTACACGGGTCCGAAGCATCTCTAAATACTGTGTCTGTCGGTGCCAACTAAAAACTATGGTGATCTGTTTTTTGCCTTAATCCAATGACGTTTGTATGAAAGAACGGCAGGCCAGGCCCAAGACTGTTCCACCAAATAGTTTCCTCGATGTGTTGCGATAGACGGTCAACATTCTTTCATTCGTGTAGGACAACTGTATATGGGCCTGAATTCAAGCCATTCTGACACGAACACTAACTATGGAATACAGTATTACCGCTGTTACAGCTGATAATACCAGAACGTTTTCAACGAAGATTTATATCATGTTATCAGTATTGATGCGTGGTTACCATGGTAACGGAATCGGTTGCCACGACTACCACAAAGACATTACCAGCAATGAGAAGAAAGCATTTTGTGTTTCTTGTACTACCTCAAACCGCCGCTATGAAGCAAGATGGCGATGTCTGATCACTATATTGTAATATAAGTTTAGAATATTGTTGAATATAATGCCATATTTTGTAGCTAGTGCTTTTGTTTGTTATTGGATCTAGTCTAGTCAACCCTCTAGTCCCAAATAGAATCGTGTTGCTGGTCTCAACGGCCAAATATGTACATCTGTGATTTGTATAGATTGTTCCGAGCCACATCCAATAAGTCATTTGTGCCAATCAAAGTTATTTTGTCACTGACTTTTATCTTTTAATCGTTAGTTGATTTATTAGTGCTCTTCTTTTGATATTTGTTTGTTTGCAATCATTTGAAAATATGTGCCAATCATCCTGTGTAATTATGCCCCGACCAGTGCCTTACTACACCACGTGTTATTTGCCATGTAAATCTTGGTTGTGACGAAGCAGAGTGTCAACCAAATATTCAGATATGTTCAACCAATGTTCTCAGATGTCAACCACTTGTGCCTGTTCCATATTATTCAAGACGGGCTTCCATACCACAAAACACGCTTTTATACGTTCGCCATCACAGTTTTGTTTTCAAAAGGGTAAAAATATCATTCAATGCATATTAGTCATGACCTGCCATGTATATCGTAAATATGGGCGTAGGTTGACCCATCGCATAACGGTACAAAGATGGCGACGGTAAACTGGTTCCCGGCCGTTGTTGCGAATACTCTTAAACTGCAACCGGGCTTCGGACGTGTGTTGGAGCATCAGACAGTGGGAACTGGTATAAGCGAGACAGTATTACTGCCATATCCCTCCATCTCGTGGCCGTTGTTACAGCAGACAAACGATCATGTATATTTTGCGATCGTCATCATATATTTATTGAGTTCACGAGTAACACATCTGCTATATATGTACATTTCACCCATAAAATAAACCGTTGTGGTTTCCTAAATCTGTGTTTGTGTTAATTGTTGCTCTTTGACATATAGCAAAAGGGCAGAGGTACCTACGTTGCATCTCGGCGTTGCATTGCATATTTCACAGTCAGAATTCCCGAACCTTCTTTTTACACTACAAGGTGTTTTACACCTCCACGAGTGAAGTCTTCTCAGGCAATGTTTCGACCAGCTTAATCTTCTATGAATGTGGGATGGGAAATATAACTGCACTACAAGATCAAACTTGTGTACATGTATGTATCTCTTCATGGGACGCTTTAATGGTTGAAATATTCAACAATTGGCAATACCAGAACATGAGGGTGTATTCGCAAATATTGCGTCCCTGAAACAATGGAATTGTCAAGTTGATCAGAAATAGGGTTACCTTTGAACTGATGGAGACTGAGACTGGCATTGTGCATTCGGAGACTGAGATGCTGATGCCACATGAACTGCAGTTGACTCGGCAGCATGTAAAAGGAGTACAAATATTGACAGCTGTTAGTGTTTTAAACGAAATAAAGCGTGTGAAGAGTGTTACAGGTAAATGTACGTGTAAAGAACCTCCTCATCCCACCCCTTGTTTCTCGTACGTATAAACCGATGTAGCCACAGGCCATATATAACGGTTGCTGTTAGGCCTTATCTGCAGTACCACCTCATCCATCAGTGTTATATATACACCACATGAGTGCATCCTCATGACCCGTTTAGATATCTCTTCCAACCGCATTGCTGGGACATACTGTGCTGTAGTTCCTCATTCAGTATCACGAGTACTTCCTCATCCACCCCCGTGAGTAATTCCTCATTCATCCCCGTGAGTACTTCCTCATCCATCCCCATGAGTACTTCCTCATCCATCTTTGTGAGTACTTCCTCATCCACCCCCGTGAGTATCAGTCCACATCCTCACCCATCTTTGTGAGTACTCCCTCATCCATCTTTGTGAGTACTCCCTCATCCACCCTCATCAGTACTTCCTCATCCACACTCGTGAGTACTTCCTCATCCACACTCATCAGTACTTCCTCATCCATCCCCATGAGTACTTCCTCATCCATCTTTGTGAGTACTCCCTCATCCATCTTTGTGAGTATTCCCTCATCCACCCTCATCAGTACTTCCTCATCCACACTCGTGAGTACTTCCTCATCCACACTCGTGAGTACTTCCTCATCCATCCTCAGAGTACTTCCTCATCCACCCTCATCAGTACTTCCTCATCCACCCTCATCAGTACTTCCTCATCCACCCTCATAAGTAGTTCCTCATTCAGCACCATGAGTACGTTTTACAGACATACATTAAGTGTAAAATGTGCTATAGCTATACCCATGAAATTCGCAAAAGGAATATTAGTAGGTTTCATCAAAAGGAAAATGGTTTTTCGAGCCGTCCGTCCTGCCCTAACGATGAAGGATGAATAGCTCACCGTTAACAAGCCGTTATTACAATTCGTTCCATGATTACACGCTCAGTTTGAAACAAATACACAGCCATGCAGGCAGCATATTTATGAAGCCATCTGTGTGACTTAGTATTCCCTGCTGAATCTGGACAAAACTGTTCACCACGCTGTCACTAAATATTTGCACTGCAAAGTCCACCCCCAACAGCAATGGTGTTAGGTATGAGGCTCCTTCTTTCCGGAAGGTATGTACTGATGCAAAATTGGCTTTGGTTGACGAAGATTCACCTCACGCCCAACAACCAATACATAAATCTTCTTTCACGAAGTTGAGATCATTCTGAAGAATGAACTGGACGTGGTAAAGGTTCCAGAACGTTGGGTTCCAATTCGCCTGATCAGCAACGCTATAGGTTTACCATTGTTTGCAAGACGTTAGGCCTGGGAATAAAGATAGTGCAGGGGCTTATGTAGCAAAAATGCTTCCCGTGGAAAGTGCATGTTAATTTTTGGAACCACTGGTAACTGTAATCAGTATTGCATATGGATTCAGAAAAAAACATGGTTCCATTTTTTCCGATGATTATAAGTGTCATTCTGGGGTAACTGAACATCGGTACCCATAATCGAGCTGCAACACCAATGTGAGAAAAACATATTCTAATAAACCTATCACAACATCGGCATGTAGTATGTCCAAATGTACCTTGTGATGGGTGTTTTGTAACTACCATGATTTGAATCTCAATAATATATGTATGCATAATAATCACTATTATCATAAGTGCTTTCGCCAAAACCGAAGGTTTGTTGCAGAGGGTATGCATTCAACCCTGTTTGAGTGTGTGTATTTATGTGTTAGCATCTCTACTCAAATACTACTGAATGGATTTCAATGAACATTTCTGGATCTCTTGGGTATGTCCCCAGGACAAATCAATTAAAAGTTGAAAAAGTACACTCTTCAAAAAAAGAAACGCAAAAGCAAAATATCATTGAACATTTATTCAATTATGTAAATCAACGAAAATAAAATGTACAGCATTGAAATTATGTAGACCAATACAGTGGTATATCATGCACATTTCACAAGAATGACAGTCATCAAAGTCATTACTGCTGTCCACGAGGTGACGTTGACATTACTGCCTTGCATGGCCACCTCTTGCTGCTAGAACTGCACGACACCTCCTTGACACAGATTGAATCAGATGTTGGATGTTTCGTTGTGGAATCCTTATCCATTCCTCCTGCAGCATGTTGAACAACAGTTACTGTTAAAGCCTCGATGTCGGATTACGACGTTGACGTACACGTTTATCTATCTGATCCCACAGGTAATCAGTTGGTTTCAGATCCGGGGATGTGGAGGTCCAGGGGAGGACATTGATGTTGTTATTGTCCAGGTAGTCCACTGTAGCACGTGCTGTGTGAGGTCTGGCGTTGTCCTGGTGGTACAGCTCCCTTTGGCGGTCGACAAGACGATGCATGTGAGACGGAGAATCTGGTCGGTATATCTCGCGGTCGTAAGATTGCCTTGGACCAATTCCGATCTGCAGGTGTATGAGATGGCTCCTCACATCATCACACCATCTCCACCAAATCTGTCCACTTGCCTGATGCAGTTGGATGCAAAACGTTCATTGCGTGGTCTGTAGACACGTTGTCTTCCGTCACGTCGCTTGAGGGGATACCGCGATTCATCATTGAACCATATGTACCTCCAGTTTCCAAGGCTCCATGGCTGCACCGCGTTACACCACCTGACTCGCGGACGTTGATGTAATTGTGTCAGAAAGGGGGCAACTTGTCGACGTCTGGCACGCATACCTACCTCTCGGAGATGGTTCCTGATTGTCTGGTCGGACATTCGCCGGCCTCCAAACCGTTCTTGTACTGTGTCCCGTGCGGAATGATGGTAGGTGGGTTACCCGGATGTAGCGACCTTGGGATGTGTGGTGACTCACGTGTCTTGGATGATCATTTGTCGACATCCCACAAACGAGTTATTGTGCTGGGATGAATGCTGAAGGTCCTCGCCACGACACTCTTGGATTCGCCAGCTTGTAATCGTCCAATGGCAATATATCGGTGGGCACCGTTGAGACGTCCCATTTTCTCATCCAATATTTGCAAGGGTCTTGGATGAATGTGCGAGATGCATTTGTGTCTTTTATAATTATAGGTTGCACGCGAAAAGCAATAATTGCGGCTTTTGATTGTGTTCCATACTAGTCAAGCTCATCATGATAATCATGATCGATAAAACCATTCACAATCGTGTATGGTTGCATTCGCTCACGCATGTTCTTCTAAACCATACCAACAACAATATTCAAATTTCTTCTTTTTTTTCTTTTTTTTGAAGAGTGTATGTTAAAGTACATGTACACAGAGGTAGTTTGAAAATAATCGCAATGTTAAATAAATGGAGAATATGAATAATAACTCAAAAAGTGATGGATGGATTTGAATGAATCTTGGTGGTTATGTTAGGTATGACACAAGGGTTATCTGCGTACGGCTTGGTGAAAGTACAAGTACACAGTAGTACTTTAAAAATGTAATAGTGAAAGGACATTTCTGTGCAAGGCGGAGGCATGTTCTCTGACGAGGGCCCTTCTAGTTTCCAAATTAAGAAAAAAAGAAAATTCATGCTTGTGTTTGTATGACAAATAATGTCGAAGCTTGTATTTCAACAGCATATTTTGTTCTTGCAGGTTAATGACGGATTGATTGACTATGCAAGTTAATGAACAATGTGAAAGTTAAAATAAATATACTAGTGCACATTATATATTGCACTTGCATACCCCTCTTGTAGTATGTAGTTATCTGTTTACTGTGATATAATTTGTCACTTCTGTATTAATACATTCAGTTTGTATTGACTGCAGATTTGGCTTCATGCCATTTGTCATTTAATTACCCAGACACGAGTGTCGCTTGTGCACGACTATATGATAGTCACATTAACCTTACCTGGGTACTATTATTACTCCGTTCATAAGTGTGTCATGGTAGTATATATTATGAAATGGGAGAATACATTAATTGAATAAATTGTTTCCATTGATATAGGCCAATACTTACAATGTTGGTGTCCGATGAAGGAAAGACAATATTTGATTAATTTAATTGATTATGCCATATTTTATGTCTCCAAATTGAAATTAGAAGCATATTATGTGGTTATCTCTATGTCATACATCATAAGCTGCAGTTTGATATGCTACATGACTATGTTGTGATAGGTTTATGAAAACATGTTTTTCTCGAAATGGTGTCGTAAGCAATTTTGGGAACTCATATTCAATCATCCCACAATGACACTTATAGCAAACAGAAAAAACGGAACCATGTTTTTCCTGAATCCATACACAACAGTGATTACAATTAGTATTGGTTCCAAAAATTAACATGTTATAATTCCCACGGAATTATACAAGCCTCTGCACTAGAAGGCTCATCTGATTTGGTTGATTGATTCGAAACCACGGATCAAAATGATCAGCTACACACTAAACAACAGTCAAAACGTGGAAGCATCTGAATTCTCTGAAGCAACAGGCCCAAATACTGTGCTTGCATGGTGTTGGC